TAAAAAATTATTTGCATTTTTCCCGCTTAGTTTGTTTAGGAATACAAAAAATGTTTGTTGAAGTGTAAGACAAATGTCATATTATTGTCATATTATATTATTACGTGTCCATTAACAAGATCGCGAGAAAGTACGTGCTGTTGTAGCACTACTAGTTTCCTAAATTGATTTCGTGATGCAGTGAATGTGAAGATATGTGCAGTTGAACCACATTTGGCTAATATAAATATGAAACATTTAATTTTTTATCTATTGAAATGTTATTTAGAAATTTCAACTTTAAAATCAAGCTAATTGTTGACAATTCGTATAGTATCGTCTCCTATATTATTTCAGTAGTATACATACCTTTCGCGCCTCTCAAACGCAACCTACCTTCATAGTGTTGGTCTCTAAAGTCATCTGAGGCCTCTAAAGAAAGATAATTTCAAGGAATCGTGACAAGTTGCACTTAACGCGGAGTACGCACGAGTACGAGGAGGTAGTAGGGGAAAACGTGTGCCATGGCAGTTCGAAATAAATTAACAAAAATCAAAACGCGCTATAATACTACGTGAATTAATTTTTAAAAAAAGCATCTAAATTTAAAATTATAAAAATAATAGAGAAAGTCATTGAACAACTGCCAATTATCCCAATCCAGACCCATGATTTAAATGTTGGCGGTATCTGGAAGTATGTACATAAATGCCCACTATATTGTAAATAATACACCGGTTTTAATTAAACTTAGGTGTCGGTTCGCTAAGATATTCAATACGTAAACATCGTTTGAGCAACATTCCCATGTACCATGATGTCTAAGCATACTTTTTCTAATGGTAACAATAATGGTATTTATTACTGAAAGGTGAAAATATGAGTTTTATATTTTTTGGCTCGGAATTGCTTTTCTTGGTGTACATAAGAACACAGAAAATAACCCAACATTTTTTATTATACAAATAGTTTTTCAATTTTCGCACCCCAGCAAGCTGGCGCCCTGCCTCTCCGAAACCCTCTCTGATCCACATAGCAAATCTAAGATAATATACAAAGAGTAGGGTTGTAGTTGCCCGATCGTGTATTTTCGCATGGAAAACTTCACTTGGCTTTCTCAAGAGTAAACACCTTTTCAAATATTATTGTGACTTTCAAGGAAAGCGAAAAGTTAATTGAATAATGAATGAATGAATAATGAAGATTGAATAATTTCTTCAAATATTTATAAGGAAGTGTGAATTGTTCGAATTACATACTGTATAATACTGTATATAACTATAATACTGAATAAACCTTTTTTGAAAATTTGTTTTCGACATCAATTGCATTGTTTTATTTTTGTTTGATATTCTGTTAGTACGAACATTTAAACATTGTTTAATAAATAAACACGTCATATCAACTTTCATTTTCAATGGAAATTATAGGAAAATGGATAGGGAAAGGATGGGCATTAATATGCGTGTTAGGCTAAATATTATTAAGGGGATCCTCTTTATTGACTGTCGCATTTTAAGGGGAAGGATAAATGAAGAACCTAAGCGGCGTTTTTTTCTTTGCTTAATATGTTACTGTATTCTCATGAAGAACGTTTATTATTAGAACCTTTCTGTACCCTTCGTTATAAATTATTCTTCTAAAATGTACCGTCGGCATCTGTAATCGTTTTGTGGAAAATCCACCTTTCTCTCAGCTCTGTGCATTATCATGTTGAAATCTTATTTTGGTATCTGTTGATGTAGAGAGCATTGCAGACGGATCAGGTTAGTGGATGTTGAACTAGTTATTCAAAAAACGACATGACCTGACCGTCTGTTTCCCGCGGTAAGGAACGGAGGTACAGAAAATACTCAAAACATATATGCTCCGGCCACAACTCAAAGAGACCAAATATATTAACACCAATGAATGGCAGGAAATTAATTATATATATATATATATATATATATATATATATATATATATATATATAGAGAGAGAGAGAGAGAGAGAGAGAGAGAGAGAGAGACAACATTTTTGGTAAACAGCATATGCAAATAGCAATTTTCTGGTCAGCAGCATTTTTGTAACAAAAAAGGTAATGGTTTTCTTAGCTAGGATTTGGAGACTGAATTCGAATATGAAATCAATTTTTGCCCATCGGGCTCAGCTTTATTGCTACATACTTTTATTTACGAAAATGCTTAAAAATGCTGCGTGTTGGTTATTTTGCTGTACATTTATGTAATAATTCTCCAGATGTAATTGTTAAGGAACCATTGAAATGTGAACAAGGAATTCTTACACGACACTGAATTCAGAAAATTTATCATTAGGAACTGAAAAAGTTTTGGAAAAATTGCTGATAGGTCATGCTTGAATAGATAGAATGGCCAAGTGTTTCTGGTCAGGTGGGTCCCACCATTGAGATATTTGATAGCGTGAAAAGCGGCTTGGATGTGATTGCTTGTTGTTCTAGATTCGTGGAGGTATGTACTTCGAATTGATTGAGAAGCAGAAATGTCTAGTGACTGTGTAAATAGCCCCCATACGTTATGCTCCATCTGTGGTGAATTAACTCTGAAATCTCTAAAACTGTACCTTATTCCTCTGAGAAGGAAGTGTAATGGGGACTTTATTGCGGGCGTAAGGTAGGCGACCAGGACAAGAAAGGATATATATATATATATATATATATATATATATATATATATATATATATATATATATATATACATACACACCTTGCGGCATGTGTTACACTGCGGATATGCTGGTGATTCGTGACACATGTCATTTGTCATTTCTGTGATTTGGAGGGAACCAACGGATCACATAAAATTTTTATCTGACACAAATAGCTGGAATCGCTTAAGAGAAGAAAGCTGTACAATGTACTAATATACCATCTGCTATAGGGCCTGTATGTTACAGCGAAGAATTGCGTGTACCACTACCTCCTGAGGACGTGACAGTGAGGGTACATAATTGGTACAGTGGCGAACATTCAGACTACAGAGGAGGAGATATCCATATTGACAGAATATTTCAAGCCTCCTCTTCGCTTTCCTTAACACTTATGTTGTTGGATTTCTGACTGTATACATCTGTACCTGTTGTTATTGGAGCGTAACATTTTGACCGATACATAGGGAGACATACGCAATTACAAAAACCATTATCACATGAAAACTGCGGCCGATACAGTAATTGTGAAATTAGATCTGAATTGAGAGGCAAATTACCATCCAAAAACAGTGTGTTTTGTTCTTGTTACAGAAAAAAGTTGTTTTTTTGTATACCTGTGTTATCTGCAATTTATTCTGAGGTCTGCCCCCTCTCTTTTGTTGTTTCCCGGATAGCAGAATGGAATTAGTAGGCGACTGTGAATGTTAATGGTGCCAATGAATGGATCAAGAGGAAAACACGTTTCAATTGTGTGAAATATAATTTCACTAGCATTTCAAAACACGTTTATTTGAGTTGGGAAATTATGTTTTATAAGACATCAAGAAATAATGATGTAATTGAAATATTTTAGAACTTTCATAATTATGTTTTAATCTTATTAATAGTAAGCATTGATTAATCAACGCATTACATTTTAACATTTTCGCCACTCAAAGATACGTCTTTCATTTTGCTCTAAGAGTTGTTTTCTTTCTTCATCACAAAGGCATTTATTAATATTTGTGGCAAAATGCCTTTTTCCTATCATTATCCCAAGGAATACAGTTTTGTCACATGTGGTAAATAAATATACGTTTAGTCCCATAAACAAATGAAAAAGCTCGAGATCAATCATATACGAGAAACTGCGTTTACATTATACACTGAAGTGACATTTTGTGCATATAAAAGCATTTATCCATAAAAATATGTCTTTCTATTCATTATTAGTACACCTAACACTACTTCACATTATCAATCAAAGTGATAAATATTTCTTTAAACAATTAATATAATTTAATATTAAAAATATGTTGATATATTATTGTTTATTGTAAGTATTGATTTTGCAAATATTTCACTTTTAAAAAAAATTACGGGCTTCTTAGACCCCCAAAATTGCAGCTTGAAACTTGCACCAAGAAGTAAAAGGGACTGGATGAAAATTCCACAACCATATTAGTTCATCATTGATTTCAAGTTTCTCTCATTTCACGAATCCTCACTTCAGCTAAAACTTGACAACACTGTCAGCTGTGAAGCTTAGTTAATATATGCTAGGAGCTAATATAGCCATGAGTTAATATATGTGTAAACTCTTTCACATGATGTGTTGTTGTTTTTTAGACTCATAGATGGACGGAAACGCGACACAAATAAATTAAATTCGGTAGTAATTCTTGATAATTTTGAACGCATTAGCTTCTAGCATTATATGAATTAACTTGCACTTCCTAGAGTGCGACAAGAAACTCATTGAAGACGTTTGTGCGGTGGGTATCAATAATTTCTTAATTTTCTGGGATTCTTGCGATGGAAATGCAACGAAATAGGAGTCAATAGATTGCTGGCTGTCAGGGAGACACTTTTCAGGCAAGGTTTCTTGTGTTTCGCCCTACGTCTTGTAGAAGGGAATGCGATGAAGATGTCTGCCGTCGGAAACAGTAGACACTTGGCGGACCGTCTCGTCCCAGGTGTGTGTGTGTGTGTGGGGGGGGGAGTCGAGATGCGTTGTACTTCACAGCAGGAAGACGCGGTGGATGATCCTACTCTTAGCGTAGTCGAGCGCCAGGCGGCTGCAGCAGGTTTAATCCAGCTTGCACCCACATTAGATGGAAAGAACGTTTCAAATCTTATAGAGATGTCTTGTCTTAGGCATGATTGTCAACGATCGGTGACCTATACTTGGTTGAAAATGTTTAGGCCAAACTATTGCAACATTTTTCAGGGCATAAGGCCGTCTTCAGGGATACTATCGTTGTCGGTCAGACAAGAATCGAGGAAACATGCTAGAGAGAGCACTACTTCGATATGGGATAAACGAACCCTGAAAAAGGATCAGAAGAACGAATGATGGAAGTGCGTTGTGATTAACAGCGGGAAGAGGCGGTGATTAGACGTTCTCTTGGCTCAGTCGTGCGGGGAACAACAGTAGCTGCTCGTGGCAAACATGCTGGTGTCGATATTTTATGACGAATACGTCTGAAAGCGACGGCTTGTCCTGGGCGTGGTTGGCAACGTCCTAGGCGTAATTGCAAACGTTTCTGTCTTCCTACTGAGACCTTCTTCAGGGCAATACGAGCACGTTTCATCTCCCCTGAAGAGTCAAGAGTAGAGCAAACGTCTTCCATATACAGTAAACGAATCGCGTTAAGTGTCAAACGAACGATTATGGTTCAAAGTTGGAAGAGGCGGAGTTAGCTCTGTTCTAGGCGGAGTTGATCGGGAGCAGCATTGGTTGCTTTCCTCCAGCTTCATTCCAATCACATTTGATGGAGACTGCCTTGCAAACTTTCAGAAGACTCCTGCAAGGCTGCCAACGATCAAAACTTATGCTTATTTCAAAACACTTCGGCCGTACTGCTGTGACATTCTGCAGGCATTGATCTTCTAGGCCTGGTTGCCAGCATGTCTAGAGTCTTGCTGTGATATTTCTCGGGGTAAAATCCATCTTGCGCCCGAGATAAAAGAGGGGTGCGCTGTGGCTCAGAGCTGGAAGAGGCGGCGAATAGCCCTGCTCTTGGCGTAGTCGAGCGGCGAGCGGCTGTAGGAGGTCCTGGCCAGCTTGATGGCGCCGGCCTCCACCAGCGCGCGCATGCCCGCCTCGTTGCGCGCGGTGACGGCGTCGTTGAGGGGCGTGGCCCCGAACAGGCGCCGGCTGTTCACGTTGGCGCCCGCGCCGATCAGCAGCTGCACGCAGCGCCCGCTGGGGTCGTTGTAGGCGGCGTAGTGCAGCGCCGTGCGCCCGTCCCACGTGGTAGCGTGCACGTCCGCGTGGCGCGCCAACAGCAGCTCCACCACGCCCGGGTGCGCCTCCTTGGCCGCCAGCATGAGCAACGTCCACTCTCGGTTGACGCGCGCGTTCACGTCGGCCCCGGCGTCCAGCAGGCGCACCACGTCGGCCTCCCTCCCCTTGCGCACGGCCGCCTCCAGCTCGCGCACGCCCGCGCTGCGCCGGTCTGCGGGCCACCCGACGGCGGCGTCCGACAGCGGCGACGGCGGCTGCGGCTCCACCTCAGCTCTGCAACAGGTTATGACGTTGTGACCGTGCTGATTCATTATGCACAATCTCCCTTCTCCTTGTGCAATATAAGCTATTCAATGGGATTCAGTTCTTTAATTTTTACTGATAAGTTAAAGCTTGTTATTGCCTTCGATACAGAGCTCAATACAAAACTGCGTAACTTACCTAAATCGATAAGATCGTGCTTAGGATCGTGGTGGAAAGGACCGAGGGAATTTTGAAAACTGCTGTTGAATGATGCGAAATGTCCTCTTATTTAGGGAATTATGAAAGAGAATTATGGGAGAAATCGAAAAGAAACGGAGCCAAGTGAATATCTAGTTAATTAGTATATACGTAAAGATGAATAAATAAAATTAGGTAGAAAAGAAACTATGTATGTACCACAGGCGTTAACTGGTCTAATGATCTCGGGCCTAATGATCAGAACCCTTATAACGCCCTTGGTGTATAAATAACAGATTATTATCAAGCCACTGGAATTAGTTTCTGCCTTTTGGCTGAAGTAATTATTATTTTAAACACTTAATCATCTCTTCTAGCAACTCTGCATAAGAGCTAATACGGCTTGGTAAAAGTAATAATTGTTGTGAATGTTAACTTTTTAGCACTCAGTTGATACTTAGCTACACGTGTCCAAGTTGGTGACAATACTTAGGTTTCAGGCCTTTGCGATTAACATAAAACGCCCTAATAGTTCGATTTTAGAAGAACCCTCCATGTTTTTGAAAATTAAAAAAAAAATGCGTGTTGGAAATATTGGGTTGAGACAATTATATTTTTAAACGTCCGCCCGAGTTTGAACCTTACGGCGCTTGCTTAGCGTATCGGTGTGTCTGACGGCAAGCTAACCTGGAAGACCAGAATTCGAGTCTTGGTGCACAAAATAAATGGTGATGATTGAAAAAATTGTTGTATGTTTATGTAGAAGTTTAATATTGCGAAGAAGTTAGAAATAATGCTAGAAAGTATGTATTATGGCACTAGTTATACTGCCCATTACACGAAGAAAAAGTAAAAAAAAATTTTGAGCTGTTTTTGAGTGAGCATTATGTTAAAAGATGTTTTAATTTGCTTATATTTTAGGCAAAATCACGAGAAAACTATTCATATTTTCAAAAAATTATCCACGATTATATTTGGGGATATTTGCTCAAAGGATTTCTTGAAGGAAAAAAACTCTATCATCAAAATTATAGTAGTGGGAACAAAATTGGCGACAAAATGTTGAAAGTTTGCAATTTCCGAAATATCAGGTTTCATTGAGGCCTCATGTAAAGTTCAAGCAAAAATAAAAATATACGTTTCAAACTCGCAGGTCATTGAGTTTGTTTATATCGATTGGAGATTATCAATTTTGGAGAAAATCGTCTTAGGTTTAGGCGTCACGGTTTAGACGTTAGCTTTGACAGCAAACAGACAGACGTTTTTCCGTTAATCGATTTTTCTCTAACAAGGGCCAAGCATTCTAATTAGACAACGTGTTAGAAGTAATTTACTTCATACGAATATAGAAGGGAAGATTTTTACACTTTTACCAGGGTCCGGCAATAAGACTTTTTCTGTCGAAAGAGTCGATTCCCCCCCCCCAGCATTACAATACTTTCTCGTCACTCCGTAAGTCAGTAGCAAGAAAGTAAACTTGTGCTAACACGGCACTTACTTACTTACCCATACTTCACGTAAAATGTCTCGAAAAGTACTAACATTTTTGAAAAATTGTACATGAAAATATTCCCAAGTATATCAAGGAATTTGTTTGAGAAGGGATTTAAGGATCAGATTTCATTAAGGGAAAAATCTGTTTTCATAATTGTAGTTGTAGGAAGGCACCCCCCAAAAAATTGAATTTTTATTATTTTCAAACAATTAGTTTTCAACAAAAATGAGACCATTCTATTAAACGTTCTTCCATCAAACATCAACATTTTATTAAAAACGATACTGCAGTTTTTTTTAATTTTGAAATTTTCCGGAGGCTTCGTGAAAAGAATCCTCCAAAATTAAAATATCGGTTTTAAATTCAGGGAGCCGCGACTCAGCCACAACGATTGGAGAATATCAATTTTGGAGAAAATCGGCTAAACAGTTTAACCGCCAACATTATTCATCGACGGACGGACATACATATGGTACGTTTTGCCGACATTCGATTTTGTGGTATTAGCGACACACAAAATATGGCTATATATTATGACTACACCACGTGGTAGAGGATTTTCCTCTAAATTCAGAAACTGGATTTAACCACTTTTCCGTTACCCGGGAGCAGCAATAGGAATTTTTCTGCTGAAAATTAGCCGCACTTCCTCTCAGAATTACATAACTTACTCTCTACTGCGTTAGCCGTAGCGAGGAAGTAAAATGACTGTTTGTTTCAATATTACAGTGGATCACCAGAAGTAATTTCCAAACACATTTTGCACGAATACGGCAGAAACAAAATACAGGATTATCCGCAAAATATTCCGCACAAGTTAGTAATGTTTTTTACATATTTTGTTTTAAAGTAACTCGCAATCTATTTAGGAATTTAGATAAAATATGTTATACACAAACCTATCTTACTGATGGCCATGTTCCTTAAAACCTTTATAATAATAATTGCTAAAGGGCGTTGCTTGGGAGGAGAGTTAGTGGGAGAGATTTTGTGACTTTCAACTTGAGTATCTCCAAATGCATCAGAAATAGTTAGAATATTATGTTTTTTTTTATTTTTAACATTCAAACTAAAATGTAAACAAAAAATTTTTCTAAGAGAAAATTTACCCTAAATCAGTGTCGTTTGTCGTCTAATCTGTCTGAACAATTTATGGGTATTAAAGGTGGTTTCGGTTTCCAATACCTTATAGGCAATGACTGGGCGTCTTCAATTCGTCTTGTATTTGATGTTTAACTCTCCCTAATGCCCCTATAATTCAATGTATGGACCAACTACTGGGTGACAAAAGTTTCATTTTAAAAGTAGCTTAAAATATGACAACTAAAAAATGGAAAAAATTAATAAAAATACCATTTTCAACAGCCACCTTCGTCTCGGTAATACAGATCGATTCGCCATGACATTTCCATTATAATTTTCACCCTATCAGAAAATAATTTAAGGACACATCCAATTCTACAATACAATACAAACATTCATAACACTTAATTCTCTTCAGACTATTTACTTCATAATTACAATATATCTCTCGGGTATCTCAAGTGAATTAGTGTTTAGAATAATATGGAATAGTGACTCATTTCGAGCATTGGTACCATGGCAACATTGAAAGCTAGCTAATCGTTTTAATAGTTCGTCAGATAGAACATTTAGTTGCTGCGAATTAAAGAAGTCTCGAGTAGGGATGTACACCTGAGGCATTCGCGAATAATAGTTTATGTGAATAATGTAAACTGTTTAATATCAGATTTAGAACACTAACTTGAACATAACTTCAACATCAAGACAGAAGATTACTGGTGGTCGATGGGATTCTTAGGGTAAGATTCTTGACTTCGGAAGCTCGAGCTAGCAGGAGGACATCAGTTTCATAAACTGTAAGTGCCATGAAAAACATCCAGCCAAATCATTCTTTGCAAAGAGGACATTTGACAATTTTTTTTCATTAAGTAAAGGCATTTTAATTAGCAAAATATATATTATTTGATGGCATGCTGAATGACGTATAAGGTAACTGTAAATAATACATTCAATATCACCAATAAACAATGTAATTTCTGTTATGAAGGCTTATTTTTATTTAACTCCACTGAGGAACCATCTTCTGTTCTTAAAAAAATACATTTTGAGCATTTACCTACTACGTTATTGTTGGGATTTCGGCCCACGTAAGTAATATTTAATTGTAAAAAAACATAGGAATTCGGAATCAATAAATTACTAATATCAATAGTTTCAAGTCCTTATAAAGTAAGAATTGCAAACACGTATCAAATTGGCTATACCCAGCGTGGTTTATATTATATTAAGTATTGATATTTTAAAATACTTATAATGTATTCTCCTTCGTCCTACCCAATATCTCATATATTTTATCAAATCATTCCTAATAGCATCCTAACTCATTCCTTATTTCAATTATTATCCATTTGGGTATTGAATATATCACTGAATTTCTTCACACACTTCCCTTCTCTTGTGAAACTCATTTCTATTTATCTAGTACACTCAAGTCAACACTATTTCCCTTTCTTACCTTTCCCATTAATCTTTTCTATACAAGGTTCTTGTTATCTTCATCAACCCACATTTCTTGGAAGAAAGAAATCAGAAGTTAGGAAAGAGAGAAAAATATCACACACGCCGTCCTGATCACAAAAGAATTTTTAAGGGTGTGATGGTAATGCTTTTTAATTTTGCAGTACATAATGGACACTACTGGCTGTATGGCAATTAGGCTGGTCATTGGTACACCTCCTGGATTAACGAAAATTTGCAAAGTGGGTGGCACGATTTTGATTTGTGGCTAAATGATATAGTAGTTATTTATGCCAAGAGCGGTAATAGTTGCATTTTATTTTGCGAGGGTGAAAGGTTGCAACACGAGGCCAAGAGGTCGAACAAAAAATAACTTTTACCGCGTGTGTCATACACTATTTTGTAGACAGCCTTATTTACTTTCATTTTATTTTAAATCAACTATATAAATCACTTAATGATACATTAAGGTCAGTAGTAGCCGATGGGCTCAGGCGAAATTATTTTGTTTTGTTTCATGCATTCATAAATTTGAGCTGATTACCATCTCACGTTTAGAGCTAGTGCCAAAAATTGAACTTTCAGCATGCAACGCAAGCCTAAAACAACCGCTTTTAGTAGTGTCTGTGTAAAAAACTGTTTCTATACCGAGTTGTACCAGTTCTAATTTGATCACAAGCACAATGCGAGAAAGTACAATGCAAGAGAAGATAGAACATGATTGATTGATTGATAATAGTGATTCCGGGCGCGTCAACTGCTAAGGTCATTACTCCCGCTAGTGTGGTGCATGTTTTTTCTTCATTTAATCTTCTCCCGCTGTAAGGCGGCAACCTACCGTCGGCTAGCGAAGTTTTTCCCAAACAAAGTATCTCCCAAGAGAGCCGGGACAATCTCTAAGCTCCCGACCAGTCTCCCGGCATGTGAAGTAATGTAGTGCTTGTGAATGCAAGTGTGTGTAAGTAAGGGATGAGGATAGGGCAAGGAAGAAGGAAAGATCGCACGCGGTCCGTGGCCCGTTTGTTATGGTACTGCTCTGGTATTCGCTCTCGCTGATCAGAGAAACCCCAAAAACTGGCGATCAGAGCAGCCGGCCACAAGAATTTTCCTCTAAACAGCGAATGAATTCGACATAGCTGACATGCAGTGTCGAAAATCCTTCCACCGTCATGACTCGAATTTAGGATCTCCCGGTCAGAGGCACTGCAGTGACATCAGTTGCGCCACCTCTCCCGGTGTAGAACATGAATTGCGACCCACCTGTAGGCGTCCTCGTGGGCGGGCGGCGCCGGCTGCAGCTGCGGCTGCGGCGGCGCGGCGTCGGGCGCGGCGGCTGCGGCAGGCTGCCTCTCCAGGTGGACGAGCACGGCGTCCACGCGGGGCACCACGTCCGCCAGCGCCCGCTCCACCGACTCCTCCAGCTTGTGCATGCGCGCCTCCAGCCCCTCCAGCTGCGCGGCGGCGCCTGCCAGGGAGGACCACGCGTTAACTCTCTGCTTCGGCGCACTCGCAGCACCGGGTATTTTTAAAACAATATTTGCCGTTTGGATTAATTATTTTGTTTCCGGCACGTCACCTTTTATAGCAATTCTTTCCGTTGGAGTAGGGAATGTTTTAATACCGAGAGATGGCGGTGTTCCCTCCCCACCTGAGATTCGGTGCGAAACTACAGGTCAGATTGCCCCCTCCAGGTATCTCTCCCCGACACAGCACCGCCAGTTGGGACAAGCTCTTAGCTCGCTCCGGATTGGTGTAGTGCATTCAACTGTAGGTAAGGGGCAGGAGAGTTCAAGGAAGAGAAAGGAAAGAATGCGCTCGGTCCGTGATTCCCTAGTTAACGTAATGCTTCTGCCTCCAGCTGGAATGAAGCTGATAAACAAGAGAAACCACCGACCATAGTAGATCGCTACAATTCTTCTGCAGAGAGTGACTGAATTTGACGTAGTTTCAGTATATAAGCAGCGTCAAAAATTGCACTGTCGGGATTCGAACCGGTTAAATTATCAAATCTACCATTTGCCTTTTCCTATCTTTCAGAACTGTGTTAACTTTCAATATCGTGCCTCATCTGGCCACGAGCTTACATTCCATTTCCTACTAAATTGCTGGCTGATATCGAAATTTGGGGATTCTACAGGTTTATGAAAATGCTGATATGGCGTTGTTGACGTTATACAAGAGTAAAATACTGGAAGTCATATTTGTCAACTTGAATTTATTATTAGAACCGGTTTCCATGAGTTTAAATACGTACAAATATTCCTTTAAGAAACAATACAAATAATGAACTTAAAATAATTTTTATTGAGATTAAATCATAATACTTGTGTATCGAAAATCAACAATATAATATAGGTGTTGTGGTGCGTTATCGTTGGCATTTTTCATGAAATAATTACAAACGTTGTCATTGCCAACAATAGTATTTAATGTAAGAGCAGCTTTCGATGGCTTAGCCATCACCATCAGTTGTCTGCTGGATGGAAGCCACGTTTTGTGGCGTCGATGGTTTTTCTTTTAGTCGGTGGGGGAAAGGTGTGTAAAAAAAATAGTTACCAAAGGAGACCCAAAAAACTTCATGAGTTCATTAAGAAGTATTTCAAAATGGATTGAAAATATGAAAAATTTCAAATGATCTTGTTTTAAAATTTGTGTTCTCTTTCAAGAATTTTAATCAATGGGTCGGAGTTATGAATGTGACAAATTGAAGTTGACAAAGATGCCATCCATTATTTTTCATACAGTCTATAGGCCTTTCAGAATAAATGTTAACAATTTCTACGCATGAGAATGAATCAAAATTTTAACTTTTTGCCAATAAGCATAGGTCACAAAGTTCATGTAACGAAGTTACATATACGAGTGAGTGGTTATGACCCCCGTAAGTGTATATGACCCCCCCTTTGAGAATTTTAAAATCGACTCCATAGCATTATAGAATAAAAGAACATTATCAAAATAAACCATATATGACCACCCTGCGTGTCGTAGAAGATTGTAACAGTTGTTCAGGCACATCCGGTCACGTACCTGCAGAGGTCGTGTGCATGAGCTCGCTCCCGTCGACTCTCCCCTCCCTTCTCAGTGCAGCCAGGAACCGCGCCTCCTGCTGGTGAAGTGCCGCTTGCAGGTGTTGCTGGAAGTCCTCCTGCAGCTTTTGCTCTTGCAGGCGAAGAGCCTCCTGGAGCAGAAAGAAACTGATATAGACTTTTTTGAAGTACCGTTAGTTTTTAACGTACTTGGATATTGATTCCGGAAACTTAATACTGTGTATTGCAATAAAGAGGATAAATGGACAGGTTTTAAAATGGACAGGTCTATTAATTTATATTTATAACCGATTCGCCCTGAACTCATAACATATTTTACTAATAGGGGAAAATTTCAGCGCCTAGTACAATTCTTCACAAGCTGATAGCAAACGACTAGTAATCCCATTATCTCATGAACTTCTGGGAAATCTGCATTATAAAATCAACTGTTCAAAAGCAGCTAAAGGTTCTAATGTTACGAGACTCACTCAGTACTGCAGTGGATTGACCATTCCAATAGATTACACCGCCCCCATGGTCTTTCTTACAAGCTGCAGTACCTGCAGTCGCGCCTCGTGCTGGACGTGCACCTCCTGCAGCTGCTGTCGGAAGGTGTCCTGCAGGCGCTCCTCGAAGTGGCGCTGCGCCTCCTGGTGCTGCTGGCGCATGGCGTCCTGCATGCGCGCCAGCCCCTGGGCCATCTGCTGCACCACGTCCCCCACGGCGCCCAACACGCTGTCCTCGCCGCCGGCGGGGCTCGCCATCGCTGCAACACGTGCGGGGTGAGCAGATGGCCTCTCGCCCAGGGAGCGCACAGGAGGCGAGAGTAGGTGGGAGTAGCAGAGAGGGCTCGAGATATTCCCAGTCTACCTGTTTCAGGTACTCCAGTATATGGGATTCATTCGTATTCTGAAGCTCGTGTAATCGTGTTCTTACGTGTTAAGCCTTTCTAAAACTTGTACAAAAACAAAGGAACGTCATAACATTCTGATATGAAAGCGTGTGAAACTTACGAATGTTATTCTTCACTTCCCGTTATTACAGTAGATTCCAGGAGCGGTTGGCTGTTAATATCGAGAGAAGCTGAAGCAATTTAGGCATATTGGATTTGTGAAGGTAAAGTCTGATTAATTTTAATTAGTATTATTTATTTAATATTATTTTCATGATTAATATTATTTTATATTATTTTTATTAATTTGTGAAATTTGTTAATCTACATCTATTGACGGATATGTGCAAGTGACTGTCTAAATATAACAATGGACCAAACAAATTAAGACAATGAACTGAAGTTCAGGAGACATAGTAAGTCGAAAGTAAACAACTAATTCTGGAACAAAAAGTTCCACTATGTTGTAAAGACATTATTGAAGGTGTGACAATTGCCAGCTATTACGCTTTTAAATATAACTATTCTGGAAAATTAGAAAAAACTCTCGGATTCATATGAAGGTAATTTGGAGTAAATTAAAATAATATTTCATAAAATAAATTATTACTATCGATAAAATTTGACTTTTGAGAAAAAAAGTAGTTACATCCTTGAGAATTGTTAATAAATTTGCAATTGGTCTCATTTTTTAGTAAAAGTAAAATTGCGTTAAAGAAAACATTGTCAAGATGGATATTGTTAAATAGTTAATGATTGAATCCTTAAGAACCTTGAATAGTTTTTTTGATTTAGCAATTTCTCGCATTACCAAAAAAGAAAGATAGGTAACATAATTTAATTTAATACTACATCTAGTATTAATATTACTAATAATTTATTTCACATTAAATCGATTTTCTTTCTCATTTTGTTTTTTTAACGTATGTTTCTCTATTTTGTAGTTAGCTCCTATGTACAAGCAAAACCATTGCCTTTATCAGTTTTCACTGTTATTTGCATAACTGTGAAAAAGGTAAAGCTGAATAAACATAATTTATTAACCATAAAATTATTACTTTCATGGAAATTTCAAAAATAAATCCAACAGGAGACGAGAAGGCCACAAAAAGATGGTACAAAAATTGATTCTGAAGTTTTTAAAATGGCCAAAAAGATGGACAAAATACAATGAAGTGTATATTGTAATAAATATACATACATTTTTAGTAAACTTTATTCAGTAATATTTGATACACTAGTTAGAGGAATAATAAGAGAACATATGGAATAATTGAACTGTTTTAATTTTTCCCTGAAAAGGAATACCCGAAAGTTAATGTGAAAGCGTACATGAAAAATAACGCAAGTATGTTCATTGAACTTAATGTAGGCTCGAATGAAAATTAATGTAAACATGTTCAATGTAAACATTTAAATTAATGTACACACGAGTTAAAATTAATTTAATAAGTACATTGAAATAAATGTGCATGTATAAACTAAAGTTAATTGTACACGTACACTAAGTTTAATGTGTTACTTTTACATTAAAAGTAATGCAGACATTTCTGACTGTGTAGTGGTACTACAGAATGGTACAGACTTTCCCGTATTTGTTTTCCATTTCCTTTGGTCACAACTATCTATTCGGACTTGCCACATACTCTTGCTAGCTGCCTTCTATCGCCGCCCAAGTACAATTTTTTAAACATTTTCTTAAATTTTCGACTTTCTAATAGAATGGAAATATTATTTTAAGAAAATTAAATAACAGTAAAACGTATCAAATAGTAAATGTTTCTTGAAAAATCTGTAGCAGTCATTAAGAAAATGACGTTTAAGCACTACTGTATATTCGAAATTTGAAGCTCTTTTTGACAAAAAATTCGTTTTCGAAAAACTTAGTTAGAAGTAATTTGAAGCAATTTAACTCACAAATAAAATAGTGATTACAAATTGCTCGAAATGTACATATTAACGGCGTATTAAATCTTTAAACAACTTTTGTATAACTTTCGAAAAAGAAAAAATTCTCAAAAATTAACGTTACGTCATATAAAGGAGTGTAATCAGAACTATTCATTTGAAAAGTTTGAAGGAAAAATTTTGAACCGTTTTGCGAAAATGGCGATTGAGTGTTTCTGAAAACGTGGAATATTGAGCTAGTTTTCATAGAAAACGGTTGAGTTTTGGAGAAGCGTTATATGACATTATTCAAATCGCATGTACCTGTTGTAAATATTGTAATGTAAACAAATCGCCGCTATTGTAAATATTAACAACGTGAAAGACAAGTCAAATAAATTACATTTTTGTAATTTTTGAGAAAACAAAAGAACAGAGAAAGCTGATATTTATGTCATCTTATAGAGTACATTTAGACCTATGCCTACCAATAGTTTACAGAAAAATTAGTAGCTATTTTTTTAGAAAATCGTGTTTTTGTTACTTTTTTAAATTGCAAATATTCCGTGAAATCTACTAAAAATGTTCCAAAAATGTTCATTACTTTAATAAAAAATTAATTATGGATAGCAAATTGCATTGGAAGGAAAAATCTCCATCTTTAATTTTGTTGTTGTAGGAAGACACCGAAAAAAATTCATACTTTTGAAATTTTCGAAAATTCAGAATTAACCATGAATATCGTATCAAAGCAAGTGTGTGTTACTCTAATTTTACCAAAATATTTAATTTTAAAAAATTGAGCCTGTTTTGAAACAAAATTGAGCCGTTTTTGAAAATGTACGCAGGGCTTTATGTCTAGTACACCCAAATTTTCAAGAATGTTTTTCAACATTTCAATGTTTCTACGCAAGCCAGATATACAGGGGCTTCTTCAATTGGGAAAAAATCCTACGCGTAGTTTAGGCGCTAGTAGCGTTCACAGATGGACAGAGAGACAGACGGATGGACGAACGGACGGACGTTTTGAAAATAACAACTTTTTCCATATTAGGAGACCCCCAAATGTGTATTTCCGTTGAAATCTGGAAATCGGTTTTCCGCAGCATTACATAACTTTCCCTGAACGATGTGTATTACTCCGTATATACATACGTATACAGGAAAGTAAAAATTGGATCGTACGTTTTCTTCCCATATCCTCATAGCATTAAGAGGCCCCATGAGCTAATGACCATTATTCTCCATCAGTGACTGCATTCGAGGCAACTGTGTCATGCGTTTTAAAAAAGTGTATAATGTTTAAATTTCTTTAAGTTTTTTGTAGAAATTGAACTCGAAAATAATATTGTTTGGCAATCACGTCTAGTTTTTGTGCTGTAGATCCTATGACTACTAAGCATACAATGTTTTTGCAACTTTTTTCGTATAGAGGGGCAATAATTTAATAATAGTGGTGATAACATATTATACGAAACACGTGTCACAAATTATACTAAAGAAACTATTAAGGTAATTAAACACAAGATAGTTTCAGCGCAACCTTTGTTAATAGAAAATGATATTAAAAACTATATAAGCGCCTTCCGTTTATATATGGCTCTTAGTTAATCTCGTTTCAGACACCAATAAACGTCAGCCATCATATTGATGTTGCAGCGACGTGAATACACCTCTACCTCTGAAATATAAAAAAAATTCTCTCGACATAACCTTGTAATTTCGTCATGCAAAAGTAGCAATATGTTAAATGACTCTTTCCTTCCCTCCACACCAGCTGTGGAGCAAAGGTCTTGTCCTGATCTCTCAATTTCATATCAAAAAGTAATAGCTGGCCTTCACAAATTCTGTACTGGTAATGTTTGATCTTTGCGCTGGCAACGTCGCTTTACCACATATGTATGACACATATGTAGGCATTTGGGTAGTTTTTGCATTTTCTATGCCTTAAACGTTTTCACATTTTAAATATAATGACGATGGGATTCGAAAGCTTTCCAATCAAGCCAAAATATCAGCTTCTTGAAGATGGACATATTTTCATAAAGAACTGTCACGGTATAATTTGTTTGATGTTGATAAGATGTCTGTAGCAAAATATCCTACCAAATGGCTCCAAAAATGCAGTAACATGCAGATTGTGTGTCTAACTTATTTTCACTCGACATTCGAGAATGACATCATGACTTCGGTAGCGGTGTCCTGGCAAACACGAATTGCAGAAGCGCGTGAGGTGACAAAGTTTACCTTGTTGCCCGCAAAGAACAAAGGAAGGGGATCTTCGAAGACCAAAGTCAAATGAAGAGGAAAGTAGAAGAAGGACACATGCCTTCTATGTTTGAAGCACGCGATTGCGTGAGCATTGTGTACATTGGTATGAGGCGAATTATTGGCAGTTTCTTGTTTGTTAATTACTTCTTTTTTATTTTTTTATTTTTATTGTTGTTTTTATCTTACCATCGATATCAATTAATTTTCTTTTTTCGACTTCAGTTTTTTTTTAGAATTTGTGAAATAAACCGTGAATGGTGTTAAACATCTCCATACTGCAAATGCTGAAATGCATTCAGAAATTAGAAAAGTGAGTTAGATAATTGGCCTTGGCTTTTATGACAGAAAAATATTTAGTTTCTGGTCCTAGTACTCGGAATACAGCGAAAAGTGAACAAAGTTTTCGATATTATTTTTGAAGTTTTAAAGAAAACTCAGAAGAAGTCAAGGATTGCTGACAAAATCGTAATCCTTTGGTGTAAAAGGTCTGGGTCAGAAACCGTACGTATAACTTTCATTTAAACCAGGGATATTCAACCTTATTTCTGTCACCGGCCATTTTCAAAAGAATGCTTTGCTTCACTGATCCCTTTATGTTTTTTATATAATATACAGCAGCCTACGTGTTCGTATTAGCACAAATGGTACATAATGATAATTTACACAAAGAACATGCTCAAAATATAATATAGTTTTCAGAGGCAAAATCGCAGATTTTAATTGCACCAAAGTTCGATTTTCATTCATATGTGAATAATATTCAGTTCCTTTGAGACTGTAAAGTTTGTAACTTTTTATTAGATGAAAAATAAGATTAACATAAATTAAATATCAGAAAACAATGATCAATTCCTTAATTATTTTTTGTATTCAATAGCATTTTGATTACACCGATCTGTCGCAGGGGCACATTTGACACTCAACCCCCAAATCCCTTGATCATTGACCCCCTTTAAAATATCACTGACCCTTCGGGGCGGGGGGGCTATATCGATCCCTTGGGAACGCCTGATTAAAACTACTATTACTTAGCAACTGGGATTTGAAGTGAAGTGCGGGAGCGCATGCGCTGAGCACGTGGCCAGGGCCAAGAACCGCAACACTCAGCCGAGCCATATCAGCCAAGGCGACGGGCACACATGTTTGGTACGCTGTATAAAAGCTTTAACTGCTGGTTATGTAATGTATCATTTCATTTACAAAATTTGCCTCATTAACTGCCGTGTCACCGGTCAGTCTTTCGTAGCACATGTTTTGAGACAATGGTATGCATTTTTTTTTTCAATTTTGTTTTAAATGTTTAAAATAAATTCGATTTCATAATCCTTTTTTTCATATGTCTCTAGTACACTTTACACACGATAAAGGTGAGACATAATGACATTGTGTTCGAAAACTTAAACATACGATTCTGAACAGGGAAATGCATGTACGGCATAACGACATTCACAATATTCAATGACACACTACAACAAGCGCTAAGGTTTTAGTAGTGAACATGTGTAGTTGTGGTCAAGAAGAAACATTATAAACACATCCAAGTTAATAAATGTCCTTTTAACTAAAATAAAACAAACCTGAAAATAAAACACGATTTTGGTCAGTTCCAATTTCTTTCAAGTCTAGTAGCAAATCCTATTATTTTGTACTAGTATCTATTACAAGTGTCATCAAAAGGAATTGGTTAAAACCAGTTACAGTGATGGAAATCATATCTTATTTTGGGTTTTCACGTTTTTGCTTGCATGCATGAAATACCAGCCTTATCTGTAACAACTTACTGTTTATTTCGATAAGCAGCTTTCAATGGATGACTTTGTCATGTCGTCTGATCTACAGATGGTGAATCAACAATAGATTCTTGTTAATAGCTTATCTAATGATCTGCTCATGATCTGGCCAACGCATCAAAAGTTGCATATCGAATAATTAAAAATTGACGTTTATTTGTTTTTAGGTAGGATAGTGATTTAGTAGAGAGATAATATTTTTCATAACCCAGATTATTAATTTAGAAATTGCCAATAGCACACGTACTGGGCGCCAAAATAATGTAACACTAACTTTATAACATTACTTTTTTATAATGCTATAAAATACTATTTTCGCAAGTGGCGTTCGGGCTCAACTTATTGCGGTATCTGTCAAATTATGATTAATCAGCCCTTGACAGTCCTCGAAACCTTTCGCTGTACTGTTCGAATGGTTTTAAAGAAATTAGATTTAATATAAATTAAATTATATTATTAAAAACATTAAATATGTATTCAATATTTAATATAAGAAATGAATGATTGAATAAGTGTACACGCTGTGAAGTGCAGTGCTCTGTGTGAAATCTGGGTAAGTGAAGAAAAAAGGAAAATTAGGGAGACAAGTGCAATGATTTAGTGCAGTGAAGCAAAGTGTGAAACGAATAATAAACAAGAACGTATACTGAAAGGTTAATCGTTGCTATTATATGTTTCTGTTGTCGTGAGTCGATGTCACGTATTCAAAAATACATTTTTTAGTAGAAACTAAAGTCATTTAATATCTTCATTGAAAGCGTTATAAATAATTAAAATTTATTTTTATTTGTTGATATATAATTCAGTTTAAATGAAAAATACTTAATAAAAGGAAACATCAGATCGGACGGACAATACACCTTCAGCCTCCCCCTCAAGAAAAATCCTCGTGGCGCCACTGATTTTTATTATTATTATTATTATTATTATTATTATTATTATTATTATTATTATTATTATTATTATTTCTGTCACCAGTTCATGCGACTACTAGCAGAATAAATCAACCAATCTAACCAACACCACTGTCCTCCTCTGATAGTAAGATTTCCGAATTGAAATGACGAATCTTACCTCCTTTGCAAACGCGACGAGCGACCAGGTGCCTCCGAGTCGGAGCAGAACAGCTGATAGTGTGATGCGCCGGACGCGAAATGAAGTTGGGGGCCGTGGCGCTATCAATCGATAGTATCTTCGAGAGCAACGGTCGCGGCTGAAGCCTCGGAGTTGGAACTCTGACCCGGTCGCGCGACCGGGAGGTTGTGACGTAAACGCTGAAACTCACACATTAGGTTGCAGGCTTCGCTTCAGCATTCGGCGACCTTTCCCGTACGACGACGGGACTTTGGATCTTGACTACGCCAGTTCGTACGTCTTTGTCGCCAGTGTTTTACGCAGGAATTTTCAGATAGAGTGTGTTCAAAAAATTCAGCAGGCGTGGTAAATGTTTAGATCATAATGTAGAACTTTAACCTAAGAGTAATATAATTCAGTTTGTGGAAAAAGGCGATTCAAATAATACGTTCGCAAAATTTTGCTTTTTTTTATAGCCCGCTTCTCCCCTATTTGTAACCACACGTAAATCCCCCCCTCCGATATGAACGTTCCATTTCGTACCATTTTATTCCACACTAGAACGTACTGAATTATTGATAATATGCATGCAATTATACGTAAATTGATATCTTTCCGTATGTTTGTAATATTTCAACAAGTTTTACATAGTATCTTTCATTAGTATTAGATTTCAAATGTAAACAATGCGACTGTAAACAGTGTGTCTGGACTTATATAAATTGAATTCGAAGAACTAGTTCCGCACCATTACAATATGGCTTCGACAAGTCCATGCATTAACATTCTAGTTCTGCATTTTTAGGTTATATCGCAAGTAGTTATAATTTCCTAATTTTTTCTGAGGGGATGCACAAATTTGAATGATAAAAATGGATAATAGAAGTGTAAGGATATTGGAAGGCCACACAAAATTGTTTTCAATGTTTTGCACGTAAAAGAGGAAGCACGGGAGTTATAAATGAAGAATGAAAATATATAGTTAATTTGGAATTACAAATAAAAGTAAAGTAATGTGTAAGGTTCCTATTATGGAAAAAGAGAACGTTTCTTATAAAAACTAGTGGTGTCAAAACCGCACCTATTTTCTCACCCGGATTTTTACGCACAATTACACAAAACGCGATCAAAATTTTAAAACATTGTACGTGACCTTATTTAAAAATCTATCTTTAAGAAACAGATTTCATTAAGGGAAAAACCTCTATCATTAATATTTTAGTTATAGGAAGACTCCGAAAAAAATTTCGAACTTTTGCTATTTTCAACGAACGTGAGACCTGTACCATTCTCTTAAAAATTCTTCAACTATCCATTAACAAAATTAATAAAAAACGCTGGAGCATTTTTTTGAAATTTTGAAAATGTTCTAGGGGCTTTTTGTCAAGTAACCGTTTCAAATTCAACAATTCACCACATGATAGAGGATTTTTTAAATTTAGCAACTGAATTTATCCACTTTTTCATTACCAGGGCTCCGTAATACTAGTTTTTCTTGCCAAAAATTGTCCGTTTTTTCGCGCAGCATTACATAACTTTCTCTCTACCCCGTACCGAGAAAGTAAAAAGAGAACACTTATACAAAATGTTGTTCTTAAAGGAAAAATAGTTATTACTGACAAAATAAATACTTCAATCATTTTCATCATTTTTGCAATCATGCAACAGGCCTTCTTCATTATCTTTACTTTGTTTACCACTTTTATACCAGACGTATTTCGTGGACGATGAAATCCCAAGAATTAAAACTTTCCTTTGCACCTTACAACAAACATTTTGAGTGTTTAAGTATGGCATTAAACAAGACCTTTCTTTTTTGATCCTCTTCGAAATATAAACACCACAGGGAAGTATTAACTCCACACGCCTGAAGAACACTGGGAACATCGCAAAGTATAGAATATATAACCAGCCCCATCGTACAATATGTTGTAGCAGCTGCTGTCAGCAACGTCGCATTCTATGACGAAAAAGAAGTAAATGTTGAAATAGTTGATCGATGGATTTTGGCAGTTGTTAGGCGAGATAGTGGAAGTTAAATGTCATTTACTAGTACTTTACTCTAACTTGCATTTAAAAGTAGTACGTAATTTTCAATAAAAAAGAAGAAATTCTGCCCTTTTTGGTAAAATCCACCCGGACACTTTTTCTTACTTAAAAAAGGACGTATGGTAACCCTATAAAATATTGAACAATACTCTTGTCCACGAACGATTATTCTAAACATTGTGCGCGAATTAGAAACTACATAATGTACAACATATTAATAATTTTGATAATTTTATCTAGACAAAATATCACATTTCAAGGTTTATTGATTCAAAAATATTTTTTTCATCTTGACATTACTCTTCAAACAAACCTACGATGAAATATTTTATTTTCTCTTTAAAATTCGTGCTGTTATTGACGAATAATTGCTGCAAGTTTCACTTACATTTTCTAAGAGTGATGTTCTTTAATTTTTTAGGCATTTTCAAAATTTCCTCAAACATTTATTCACACGTTCATCACAGAGGAAAATAAGCTTCACTAAAAAAATCGAAAACTTCCTGTATTCAATTTATTTTAAACTTTATATAATTTGGTTCTCCTTTAAAGGGGCCAAGTGAAATACGATTGGAAGACCAAGAAAAATGATCTTGGAGGCTTTCTTTTCAATTCGTGTAACACTTGTCATGTTTTTAAGTATTAAAATAGTAATAAAAAGAAGTTTAAAAAATCTTCTTGAAAGGGCTCTCTTTCTTTCCTAGCATAATTTTTCTGTGTCTCAGATCTCATTTCCTCTCATTTTCCCAATTTCAGGGGCACAACAAATGCCGACGAGTGTTGTGAATTTGCGCTGCAAAGAAAATCCGTTCCAATCGAACAACGTTAGCAGGTTATCTGTTCCCGACGTTAATAAATAAAACAACACAAACACACTGCCGGTCATCATGCGATTCACAACAATCGCCACATCCCGACAATCGACGGAAGACAAACGAGACAGAGCGCGCGTGCGGACAGTGAGAAAACGAATTCACTGCTCTCTAAATGAAAGGAGGCGAAAACAAACGAGAGGTGCTACATCTCCCCATATGGCGAGTAAATACCCGTCCATTTACTGTTGAAAGAATGATTTATGGCGAGAGAGTGTAATGCTCGCTTGCGTTTGGCCCAACCGCCCGAAGCAGGGGCACCACTTCGGAGGGCGTTCATTTCAAGAAGCTGACAGCTAAAGTATGACGAGACACCTATTGAGCGCCCTGATGTTGGCACGTGTGCGCCGGGCGTGCTTTATCTGTTTCGTGCGAAATTGGTTTGCGAAACAAGCGTCCCTCTCGGTCTTCGGGGGAGGAATCCAACCGTTGACGCGGAGGGGAAATTCAGCGCACTTTTTTTCTGTAATCTGTCGTTTGGTTCGCAGGGCAATGCATGCTACTTCGATTTATCCTTGCCACATATCGTATTTGCTTGCTGGCGCCGAAAGATAATGGAATGTATCGTATCTATATTTCACACAAAAGTATTATCTAGCCATCCGTACTCTTTATACACCAGAAAAAAATGTAATTTATGGATATTTATTATTCAAAACCAGTTTTATCCTTGAAGAATTATAGACAAATTAAAATTCAATGCCAATGAAATATGACATTATATTAATGTCTTATTTACGTTAATACGCAAACTGAAAAACATGTTACAAATCTTATATTTCAGTATCAAGGCACCAACCTAAAACAGTGAAAACACAGATCAATACTGCATCGTAAATCAAGACCCGATGCACAGAGGTATTTGGGGAAACGCACAATAGCTTATAATATTTGTTCGGCCCTGCGAATCTCCTTCGTCAGTAAATTGTTTTATCAAGCAACCCTCTTCATGAAAATGTGTAACTTTGTGTTGCAGGGACTTCTACAATTGTCATTCCACATTAAAATTAGCCGAGTCCCCAAGAAGGAGGAGAAGAAAAAGAGGAAGAAAGGGATTTTGAGATAGACCAATAATAAGTGCTCGGCGTGCACTTCATGAATTGTACATTCTGTAGATACGTGTTTCTCGCTTTGAAGACTCATTACTCAGATATTTGGCAGGTAGTATTATAATGTTAAGTTTTTTAGTAGCTAAAAGTATATTTAAAATGCCATAATGTTTCCATGCAATGAAACCACAGGTATATGTAAACCAAACAGGTTGATGTTCACAAGTTCGCTTGGTTGTACATGCAGAAGGAAAGGTTGTGCATGGGTACAAAGACGAATGATGTTAAAGGAGTTGCTTACTTACCAAAAACGAACTGAAGTAAAGAATTTTTTTTCATTATTTATTTACGCTTGCTTTACAAAGATTGCTGTAATTGTAATACAAACACAAAAATTAATATGTTGGGAGCTAACTGAGGAGGCACTGGTCTGTAGATAAGGCTCGAATGAGTTAGCCACCATCTCCTTCCAACGTACCTTGGCAGCTTTGTTATCAACTCGGCGGACCGGCGACGCGGACGCATTCCTTGTAAAATTCCTTGTATCTACAGAGGTCGTCACTACTACATTGGGAGAATTCAGTAGGCATGTACTGAGTGATGAGAAAAACATGTAATTGAAACGAAGTAAAATACACTTGATTACAATTACGATTACATCTAAGTTGAAAGCATTTAAATCATTTCAATAGCTGTAGATTTGTGCAATTGAAGACTGATTGAATAGGTTATAATTGACATTGAAATATTGCAATGGTCGGGGTTTTTTACTGTTGTCTTAATATGGTCTCCTGCGCACCCGAATTCTTCCATCGGATCCATAGATGTTCATTTTCAATTTTTCAGCAAAGATTACTCTATTCCAGCAATCTTCTTCTTTTTCTGCGTGTTATTTCGCAAATCCCTGACCTTTCCGTCGGTTTGCTTTACTTATAAATTACTTTCTTCTGCCAACTCGGCTGTGGAAATTGGATCTCCAAAGTACCCTTCGCTCAGTTTCGGGATTTACTTTCTTGTCAATTTCTCACTGTGGAGTAATTTTTGGTGCACTAATACGAGGACAAATACGGTACGTAGTAGTTGGTGGACGAGGCGTTGTGGGGTGAGTATGCCAAAAAATGAGGTGTGCACGACGGATGAAGGAGTAAAGAGAGGAGGAGAATGGAATGGGATGGTAGATATGCTGAAGAACGAACGGTTGATTGATTGAATTGACATTTAGAAATTCCGGGTGCGTAAACTGCTAAGATCAATAGTCCCGTAAG